TGAAAAATAATCTGTGCATCTTGTATGCCACTACATCTCATCACTGGAGTGAACCAAACCACCAGATCCCCAGGTATTCAGAAACACTGATCACTTGAAAGGAGGAATCCCTTGCTGGAGGGAGGAACTAATCCATCACAGAACACGAGCTGTACATACTGGGGGAGTGACTTGGTCCATTAATGCAACAGCCTCAAAACAAGAAAAGGTCCATCTTTTCAAATTCCGCGACAGCTGTTTTGTAATTCAAATCATTGTCAAAACAATGTATTGCATTGGTGATAACACACTACTATAGTTCTTAGTCATGCTCTAGTCAAATGCAGCCACAGTCTAACAAATTACTTGTATAAATCTAAGACAAAAGAGGACATATTGGTCTTCAATTCACCTCCAGCTTCCTGGTAAAGAAATATACACGAATTCAGCAGATTTATACTATACAATAAGCTCACGGGATACTTTGGGATTTTTTTTATTGTTCCTCACACACACAATAAACCTCACTGATTTCCAACAGAAAATTACTGTGCTTACAAAGGAAATCAGAAAATAAGTGAATTGCCATTATTCTTCAGAATCATTAACAACACCTTATGTATCACAGACCCTACTGCCTTCTGTGCAGAAAAACAACCTACACACAGGAGCTCTATAATTAACCTGTTTCAGACCCGTGACCTCTAGATAAGCTATTCTCCTGCAACCTAAACAGGTCTCTTGCAAGGTCACAACTGAAATTATTTAAAAGAGGGATCCTTTCCAGCTGAATCCCAAAATATTACAATGTGTTGCAACAGGAAAGAAAAAAGAAAAAAATCTGAACTTGGCCAACTAGTGTACTGAAATTAGACAGACTATTAAAGAGAAGTGATAAACATAATGGAATTAAATTTGTTAATGATAAAGAGGTATAGCCCATTTTAAAGTACTACTCACAGAATGAAGACAGAATAATTATTTTCATATTTTCCTCAAAAAAACCCATTTATTTCATTATAGATACGTCAGAAACTTATCTATCTTCCCAGACATAATCATTTTTAAGCAGTACAAGTCAACAATACTACATTTACAATGCAATATATAAAATGTTCTCTGCTGAACTGGACAAATCTGACTAATCAAGGTCACAAAGTAAGTTCTTTCAAAAAAAATTATTTTGTGATACTGGAAATTAAAAAATATGGACTATAAACAGAAGAGGCAGCTTTAAAGTCCCTCCTTCATTGATTTTCAGAGATAAGTAAATCTGTTTCATTTTGGCTACCACAGGGTTAATTGTTGCTGTAATAGCACAAGAAATGCTGCTCTGTTGGATGACTGCCAGCACATAAAAATGTGAATCCACAGTTATGGATAAAGCAATTCCAATTGCACTACTTCTTTGCTAGTACATTTTTATGGCAAAACATGCTTCTATTCATGAAGTGGCTAGAAACTAGCATACCGCTGTTAATCACCACAAATATTACTGCTATAGAAGTAATGCCTATTTATAATGCACAAATATTTTGTGGATCTAGATCAAAAGTAACGCGACTGCAAAGATATTTGCAATCTGTATCCCACAGAGTATTTTCTGAGATTCACATAAATTGCCCAAGACTTGGTAACTCATGCCTTAAATGTTAACAGAATATTATTGGAGGTATCAAACAAAAGAACTGTAAGATATATCAGGCAAAGCTTTACTGCTATTTTCAAATAACACGAAAACAGAAATCTCACTTTGAGATGCTGAAGTGTGTAATTTGTAAAGTCAGAGAACCACCTGGGGAGAAAGTTTTTTTACTCCATGAAAGCAACGGAGGAGGGAGATTATCAATGGAATTTAGCATACACTGTTTTGTACCTTCAGCAGCTGGCAACAACCCATAATGCCCTTAAGAGAAGAATGCATGGCCACTGGAATACACATATACCTGGTCACTGAAACAGTGGGAAGAAAACTCATATTCATTTCATACTTCAGTATGCAGTCAGTGCCATTCCAGAACCGGAGGAGCTTACATCTCTTCCTTTAAACCTGACCTGGGACTGTCAGTTCAGTTGAACTACATTTTGTCTCCACTTGCTCTAACACCTAATGCTGGGAGAATATACAACTGCTATCACTCACAAGCAGCAAATTGGCTACTCCGTGAAAAATGCTCCCTGGCCATGTTTTTATCCCACCATCAATAAAAGATGGCTTAACACCAAGTATTAGCAGCAAGATATCTCACATTTACAGAAGGGTAAGAGTCCATTCCCCAGCTTTTACTGGGGAATAGCTGACATGATGCAAATTCCCATACTTCACTTAGCATTCAGCCATCTGTATGCATATCCATACCTTACGTTTGCCATTGGGCTGCATCCGACTTCACAGACCAGAAAGCAATATGGTTTGATGCAAGTCATACACAAAACCTTCTCTGGTAACAGCCTTTACATCAGTATTCCTGGTACAAAATACTTAACCAATCATTACACCAACACAAATCCAAAAGGAAAATCATTATTGATCTGTGCTGAAAGCGTCAGTTGACCTTTACAAAAATAAGCTATTAATGACTTCTTAAAACGTAAGAGAGTATCTAAAAATATTTTCTCTTATGGAAACCCTAAATACTAGAAATAGTTTCTTGTGAGAATACAACTTCTTTGCAACTCAACTTTAACTCTCAGGATGTCTATATACAATCATAAATGTGACATTGTAATAGTTTCACTGTGAAAATATTTTGTCTAGTTCGTTATCTAAAACTTAAGGGATTACTCAAAATATCATTCCTTAGGTTTAATTACTTCACTTCAAACATCTTCAAAGAGAAATTTCTCTCAAATAAACCTCTAATGCTTTTGCAAGTCCAGTTATGGCTAATATGACAAAAAAAATCCATTCAGAAGAGCGGGAGACAGGCCTGCTAGAGAAAATTAATAAATAAGGTTTCAAAAATTATGTGTTTATTCCAATGCATGAGGGGAGTCTAAGTAAATTGACATTCATTTTCTAAAGAAATACTATCACAAGTAGAGGCCCAAAGTTTTAACAAATTGCAACTGTGGTAGGAAGAGAGACTTGAAAGACAGAAAGTTTTGTGTTCCCCCTGCTGGTTTAGCAATTGACTCCAAACATGGTTCCTGAGGTAGGCATCAAGATGCTGGGGTATGAAAAGATGTTTTGCAGGCCAGGAAAAAAAACCTTGAAGCTTACTTCTTAAAAGAATTCAGATCCATGGTGGATATCATTTACACACTGACCAGGTGAGGCTCTGGACACACAAAATGTGCATCAGTATCAACAACCAAACGAGACCTCCCCAGGGACAGAAAGCATGGCAGGAGAGAAAAATTTGAAGTGTCACTTTAAAGTTAACAAGGTTGGACTGCAGCAAACAATTGGGGGAAGCAAGTTTCAGAGTAAAGGACTCTTCACTGAAGGAAGCCAACGACCTGCCCCCCGTTCAACACTCGTCCCTCCCTTCCTCCCCCAGCTGAGCACCAGCTGCAGCAGTTGGTGTCGGCCCAGGTCTGAGTCGAGGAGCAGCTCCTCCTCAGCTGGAACTCAAGCCCTGTAAGCTTTCACGGGTTAAACTGGAGCTCTTCAAACGAATAAGCATCTTCCAATTAACATTTTACTAACACTCTTGCTGGGAACACTTTAACAGGACACCAGTACAGTGCTAATTAAAACCCAGCTACCAACTCGTGTTGTGCCTGGCATTCATGGAGAAAAACATGGACTGTAAGAGAAATAAAGTAATCTTAGAAAGAAGTGATAAATAAATAGATTTTGTCTTAGGAAGATGTTTCATTTACATGTATAAGTTTAAAGTCTTCCACATACGAGACTACAATAGTATGAGTCCTCCAGGTCACTGTAAGACAAACCTAATTGGTGCTACAATTAATGAGCAGGCAGCTCTGTCACTCTGGGTTTTCTCCCCAGTGGGGGTCTAATACAAGCCTGTTCAATCTCATCAAAAAGAAAAAAAAAAAGTAAATAAAAACCTAGTTTGGTATAAATACAGATCCAACCAGAAAAACTTTTTCTTAGAACAAAATCATGGCACTTGTTCATCCAAGTGTCTAACAGGTTACAAACCTTATCAGGAGGTCTCTAAAAACTGAACTGTCCTGATGATACTACATTTGAGAAGAAAATAATAAACGATAGCAAGTAAATTTTAACAGCTACAGCTTAACAAAACTGAGATGAGTAGATTTATACCTGGTTACATCCACAGCAAGTGGAAAAGGTGTAACTACACATGCAGCTACACCTAAAGTCCTTTCTTTTGAAAAGAAGTAGTATCGCCTCCTGTGCTGTTTGATGCCAATAACAGTGATTTCAGAATTATAAGTGCACCTGAATCTGAGTAAAGTTCATATTTTAAAACTCACTTAATTTACATATAACTTTATTGGCACACTCTTATTATTACTAGAAGAGATGAACTGAGAAGGCTGCAGTGAATTGACGCCAGTACATTCCCTGCAAAACACGCAACAGAAAATCCCACAGGTCAACAGCTCCTCAGTGAAATGGCAATGACAGGACACGTATTATCCTCACACAAAACTCTCACTCTGCTCGTACACTGCGGAGTTCCCACCTGGCCTCCTGAATGACACGAGGACCCCGCACACACACCGGCGCGAGCATCCGCACAGGGCTTCGCTCGGTGCCCGCAACTCGCCCAGCACGTTCCAGCCAGCCAGGCACGGTGACTGTCGCCGGGACACCTGTAGTTTTCCCCCACCAGCCGCTCACCTCCCGGCTCGCTCCTCAGTTCCCACCCGGAGCCCGCGGTTCGCACGGTCCGGCCGGGAGCGCCGCTCCCAGCACGGGCTCCGACCGGCCCGGGCAGCTCCCGCACCCCGCGCCCGGCAGCTCCGCGGGGGCCCCCGGGACCGTCCCGCTCAGCCCGCCAGGCTGACACCCCGGGAGGCGCCCGCCCCAGCGGACGGGGCACCCCCGCGGGGCGCCCGGCCCGAGCCGCCGCACCCACCTGGCGGCAGGTCCGTCCACGCCGCGTCCCGCGGGGCAGGCGCGGGGCAGGCGCGCAGCAGCGCGGCTACGCCATGGGCAGCGCCGGCCGGGATGGGAGCGGACGGGAACGCAGCCCTCTCGAGGCTACCCAGCGCCGGCCACTGCTGCCCGGCCCGCGGTGCGCGGAGGGGGCGCGAGGAGGCGGGTGCGGGGGAGGCGCGTGCCCGCCCAGCCGGCCCCCAGCCCGGCCCCCAGCCCGGCAGTAACCCCGGCGGGGCGGGCGGGGCCGCCATTGGGCTCGGGGCGGGGCCGGCGTCGTGACGGCCGCGCCCGCCTCCGCCGCCCTCGCGCAGGGAGCGCGCGCCTCGGTCTCCGCGCGGCCCGTCCCGTCCCGCACCGTCCGTCCCCGAGGCCGTGAGGAAAGTCCCGGTGCTACACGCACGGCCCGACCGTGCCGACAGCCGGCGCCCCGAGCAGCCGGAGCACAGCGGCGATAGACCTCGCTCACGCCGCCCCGGGCGGCGGCACCGCGCCCCCGGCCCCCGCCGGCAACGGCTTTAAGTTACCGGCCTGGAAGGCGCGTGAGGCCGCGGGCACCGCGTCCGTAACGGAGCCTGGGCTGCACTCGGCCCCCGGCGTGACCGGCGGTGTGGCGGTGCCCTGCCCTGTGCTCCGAGGTACGTCCCCGCAGCCCCCGGCGGGCCCAGCTCCCACTGGCGGCGGGGGGCGCAGGGACTGAGCGGGGCCCCGCTGTCCCATCAGCGCGGCCGCCCCGACCAAGGGCAGCCAAAAACACTCATCAGAAGGGATCTTGGCTGACACCACACAGCTGACATCGTATACAGCTAAGCAAATCAGTCCAGATCACTCGAGAGTTATTACTTTATGGTAGAAAATAACAAAGTGTTGTTCACTGCAGAATGCACTTTTAAGTTGGTCAAAACACCCAACTGTCAAGACTACTGAGTTGGGGAGCCATATGTCATTAAGGGAGCTACACCATGGGTGAGGCCTTTCCACCTGTAGCCCCGTTCTAATTTTCTCTTACAGCAAGGATGGGCAGAGAGTTACTTTATGACACAGTCCTGCAAGACCGGTGTGCTCTTGGTACCTACATATCCTGTAAAGGTCATGGTAACAAGAGCAATACTAGCACTTGGCAAACATTAATACGGCAAAACTCCTGTCACAAAATTGAGCCCTAATCCTATTATTATCCAAATAAGCAATTATTCTTGTATAGGTATGGAGACCATGTGGAGATAAAGAGCAGTACAGAGGAGTTTCAGAATGTTTCAACAAAATTTTACTAGTTTAATTGGCTTTCTTGCTAGGAGGGGAGTTGATTTTTTTCACAGTGCTGTTTGACTTCAGCCCCTTTGTCCCCAGATCATGAATGCTGAATTCTTACATCTACCCAGGAGGTGTGTTATGAGTGTTCAGACACAATTTAGCCAAATTTGCAACCTAGATTAATGCCCTGCCACTTAACTTTGATCTGTACTGTTTGGATGAACCTTACTCATAAAGTTCCACTGCACATACCAAACATCAGTCAATGGCTGGGTCCCCCAAAGACTAGGTCTCAAAACTTCTGCGTTATCTGTATATGAGACCACTAGCAAGTAAATAACAAGCATTTAGTCTACATTAAATATTTCAGCAAACAGGCTTATAAAATCTGCAGAAACATGTAAAATACAAGTTTGGACTGCTTGTTGGCAGCATAAGCCAGCTTACAGAATTTTAAATTTATTTTTAGTGTTTGAAAAGTTGTGCATGTTGGAACATGACATATCTCCTCTCTTATCACTCCCGTATGTAGGATGCAAAATCTTTGCAAGAGAGGCGTGGAGGTGGGGGAAGTCCCTTCAAGAATGAAGAAAATTAATATTCTTTAGCAACATATGCATTTCAAGGCATATTTTGTGGCTACTATATTTCCACTAGCTGAAATTCCGACCACTGATTAAAAATGGGATTGAAATTTAAGCAAACCAATTATTTTTATTTTAATTACTCATTTGGGTCCCAGTCCTGCAAAGATTAAATCAAACAGATTAGGTTCACTCAAATAAGCAGCCATGAGAGCTGTTCAAGTGTGTGAAGTCAAATGTGTGCACACAAGTCCTGGCAAAATCAAATTCTTTGTACACAGGTCTGACTCCAGCCAAATTATTTTCACCATTTTCACTGATGCTGATAAGAACTGATTCTTGTTCAAGAGCCAATTCTGTTAGGTATTGACCATAGTTCAGGCTTTACACCACTTCTCCTGGTGTCTGAAAAAGTTCAAGACTTTCTAAGCACACTCAACAATGATTTTTAGTTATAAACTAATACGTAACTCAGTTGATGTATATAAAGATATATATTTGTATATGACAAATTGCCACATTAAAGTACAATTAGGAACATGGGTTGGCTCCCCCAGGAACATAATGATAGACAGTTGACTTTGGCAATTTTTCTTTATTTTTACATTTCATGGAAGAATAAACAGAAAACACCTAATTTCTATTAAAACCATGGAAAATTCTTGTAATCTTAACTATAGGGTTCATCTTTGCAGCTGAGGAACACAGTTATATATATAATTTGTATTTTTACTTACTTCTTAAGTATTTCCTGATCTAGTGATTAACTTCAGTCCAGGGCAGGGTTATTTTACTTAGCAGGCATTGGCCCAATCCAGCAATGTAATGTATTATCCTCAAGAAGATGTATGAAAGCTGTGACAGTTCACTTTTGCAGGAGGTTTAAATGTTTTCATGGTGCTACATAATTAAGCCTAAGCAAATGTAAAAACTCAAAAAATAGGCACCAAGTAAAAACTATTACCATCACTTGGCAGTTCTAATTTCTTTTTTTTTCTTTCTTTCCCACAAAATTCAATAGAGATACTTCTGTGGATAACAACTACCCGTTTACTATTCTCACAAAATTATAGACCAGCTTCAATTACTAACTTCACATTATAGTCATAGAGCTCTAACCTGCATCGAAGAGTCTGCTGAATTCAGGTCACCCAAGCCAAAAGCAGTATCAATCCTTTAAAATGGCATCCAATCTGAACTAACTAATCCTTCCCAGGGACAGGGGTTATTGATTTGGATACCATTCTATATTCACAGAATCACAGAATATCTGGGGTTGAAAAGGAGAATTAGAGATCACTTGTACTCAAAACCTTAGCATACTAAAACCAATACTAAACCCCATACTAAATTGCCTGGGTAATTTCCACAGTTTTAAGAATACAGAACCGTCTCTGCCTTTGTAATGATGCAGGACCAGGGCCTTGGGATAACCATGGAGCTGGGGCCTGTGTGTCCTTGGGACAGCACTGAATACACTTCCTGCTAATTAACATATTCTTCTGATGAACCCACTGCCACAAGTATAAGCATGCTTTAAAGAGTTGCTGCAGGACGTAGGCATCTGATGATCACTTACCTATTTATAGAACTATTTAAAAGTATTTTACGCACTAAAAGAAATGAAGGGTACAACAGCTCTACAAAAAGTTTATTCCCAAATTGACTTGGAGATTCTAATCAAAAGCACAGACTTCTATAAAAGAGCAACTTTGTATGAAAATGTTTTCTTGTCACAAAGTATTTCAAGATCACAGAAATGATTTTCAGACATTAGTAAGGACTAATTCTCACAAAACTCTGTCTGACTTCAGTGTCTAGATTCTTGTCAAGGCTAAAAGATAGTCCCAAACAATAAAGAACTAAAAAACCAAAATAATAATCAAAGATAGGAAGGACCACACTGTCCTAAGAACTGTTCCTGTTTGCTTTGAAATTTATAGATCATGTTCTACATTAAGGCAATACAAATTCTGTAATGCTGGATCCAGACAACAGGCCAGCAACTGTGTTCTTGAAATGCTAAAGAACCATTGATAGTTTTGAAAGTCTAGAAAAGAGTAAATATCCTAATTCACTAATTCCAAAAAGGAATGGATCCTGCAAGGATATTTTGTACATAAGACTGGTTTGGAACTGAGATTAAGCACAAGGAGTATGTTCAGATGAGTGCAGTCATTGCCCAGGACATCCACTTTGTCCCTCTCTGAGGTAAAATGCTATTATTTAAAATTAGCTTTCTGTTTTAAGCTGATTTATTTGTGATTTATTGTGCAGCTGAAAGCAGGGAATAGAAAGGTCTAAAAGGCTTCACCATAGGTTGCTAGATATAGGTTGTTATGATGCAGTAACTCTATTGTTATACTCATATGACTCTACCCACACAACCTTTAATATAAAGGTTCACTTAATAAAATTAAGCCATTAAAATCTTCTTAGGAAATAACTCATTAATACAAACTAATGAGGTAAAATTCTACATTCCTTACTGAATGATCCTGCATTCCTTGAACACCTAAAACTTTTGCCAAAGGTAAGTAAATGTTAGTGTTGAACTGTTAGGCTTGTCTACACTTGAATGTTACCTTGGATTAAGGCAGGGAGTGAATTTCAAGTGCACCAGCAAATCTGAGTAATTCCAAACACAGACAAGTCATGTATAGTGCAATCATGGAAGATACCATGGGGTTTAAACTCAAACCTGATGCTACATATCCAATTCAAATAACACATTCTTACTTTCAGATTTAAAAAAGGAAGAAAAAAGACAAAATCCCCCAGCATGACTAATCATATCATTTGTGCCTCCCATTCACCCCTGCTTGCCTTGTTTAGGCTCTTCTATACCCAGCACTCCTCTCCTATTGACTCTGATATGCCCCTTACCCTCCTTCCAACATTTTTCTGATAAGATGTTTATAGGCCCTCAACCTACCAAATGCAAACACAACAGACTAGAAGAGGGAGGAAAGAAAGAGAGATTATATGAGAGAAGGGAAAAATCAACAAAAGATCAAACAAGAAAAATGTGAAACTAGCATACCTTTACTGCTCAATCACTTCTTTCTGGCTGGATCCCATTCCTCATATTGCATGTTGTCTGTTTAAAGCCCAATCTGAAGTTTCATCAAATAGCCAGAAGTCAATAGATTACTTTAAACTCTTCAGTTCCAGACAATTCTCTTTATGTTTGATCATTACACACCTAGAACCTTGTCACATAAAAATTATTTAATAACATACACATGTACTTTCAGATTCAAGCCCACATATTAAATAACTCATATTCACCCCTGTAATACTTAAAATATGGAACTATATATATGACTAAAATTGCATATGTTGTTTGCAGGATTGAGTCC